GGGTGGTCTCAGCGTCCCCAGGACCTCTCTGACTCCCAGTGAAGCCACGTTCGCTTGGGCAAACCCAGGGATATGTGGGTGTCAGGATGCAGCTCATAGCCCCATCACAGAGCAGTACAGCTTCATGGGGGTGGCCAGTGGGGATGGTGAGCACTGTCTGCCCCTGAGGGCCATGAAGAGGAGGGAGTCACAGGAGTCTCGTGTGTGTGGGTGCAGGGGTGCATGTGGAGGCTGCAGCAGTCTGGGGCCCGCAAGTCCCTTGCAGCCCTTAGGGGACTGCACAGCCAGACCCTGCGGGGCTGGGACCGGGGAGGGGGCAGAGCCTTCCCCATCCTCGAGATGGGGCTCAGTTAAAACCAACAGCACTGTGATAGGGAACAAAGGAGGTCTGGTCTGAACCTTCTTCGACCTTTCCCATCTCAGTGGTTCGTCTGGGGCAAAGGCACTGCAGTGTACCCAAGTCCCCTGTCCTTCAGAGAGCTCCTGGAACACCAGAGCCAGCTGCAAGCCAGTACATGGCAGCACCAGCACCCTGCTGGGGTCCTTGCTCAAGATGGATCCAGGCCAGGCTGGGAGAACCCCTTTCCCCATCCCTGTGGCAGCTGGGGTGGCTGTGTCATGTGGAAGCAGTGAGGAGGGTCTTGCAAAGTCCCCTGGTGAGGGAATGCTGGGGACCTGGCTAAGTGGCTGCAGGTTCCCCTTAGCTATAGGAACATGTTCCCGTGGCTCTCTGGCAGCGCCTGAAGCTGGGAACACGCAGGACAGGGCTCATGGCCATCTCTCTGTCAGTGCCTGGGCCTCAGGAATAGCAGTGCATCTCAGCAGATCTCCGTAACCTTGTGAAAGGGGAGGGAGAAGCCAGCCTGTCCCTGCCTGCTCCACGCAGGCGTCCCCACGCCGCCGTCATGCTGCGGCAGAAGGAGGGGCCTGGCTCTGCTGTCCCTGACTCAGCCGGGACCTTCTCATGGCGCAGAGCCCAGCGTGGGGGGCAGATCTGCTCCTGTCCCGCTCTTGCACTGGGGGTGTCCCTGGCCATCGCTCAGCTGGTGACTTCCGCAAGGAGGGAGTGTGGGTCCCTCTGCTAGCCTTGCTGGAGAAGGGACAAGGGGACAGATGGGCTGGCCCTGTACCTGTGGGATAGCCTGGAGCTGTCCTGGCCCTCGGGGTGCTTTATTGCCCTGGGGCATGTGGCAGGGCAGTTCGTGTTCTTGAGGCTGGTTGTTGGCATGCTGGAGGTGGGGAGAGAAGCCCTTGATGGCTGAGTGTTGTGACAGCGTAAGGGTCTGTCCTCCAGTGTTTTGAGGGAGACACAGTGGGTGCGAGATGGTGCTGTGCTTTGCAGGGGGATCTTGACTGGGAAAAAGTCTGCTGATAAATGTCTGTCTGTCTTGCCACTGGGTGCGAGAAGGAAGGACATCACCCTGTGCAGGACAGGGTGCAAGAGGGGTCTGGGGCTCCATGTGTCTCACCTAGCTGGGGGAAGGGGCCCACCTCCATCCCCAGCCCTGTGGGGCAGGACCTATCCCGGCAGGGGACTGACTGGGGCTGTCCGTCTATGTCTGAGCTGGCTGGGGCTGTTGGGGTCCCAGGGAAACAGGGTTTGCAGCCTCTCACTGCTCCACTCTTCCCAGGCACCACCTGTGTCCTCGTGTCCTTCCCCTTCATCTTCAACCCCTGCCTGGGTTGCAAGGAGAACACGCCGCAGTGGGCAGCCTTCATCTACTACCTCCCTTTCATCATCATCTTCCAAATCGGCTGGGCGGCCACACAGATCTCCCACTTGTCCCTCATCCCTGAGCTGGTGACCACTGACCATGAGAAGGTGGAGCTCACAGCTTTCAGGTGAGATGGCCAGACCTGGGTGTCCCCTGAACGTGGGGGAGCAGCCCTGCCTGTGCTGGGTCCTATCACTTGTGTGATGAGAGGTCCCCTGGGTGCCACAGGTCTGTCCCCTGTTTTGTGGCACACTTGAGTCCTCAGTACGGCAGGACCAGGGGTGGGCTGTGTGGGCATCCTGCAGGATGTGTCCAAGTGACACTGTTCTTCTGGCTTGTGGCCCAAACCCTTTGGGGCCAGGAGGGAGCAGGGATGTTGGTGACACAGTCCATGGGACACTTCCCTGAGCTGGGGACACTTCTTCGGGACTGGAGGGTGATGCTTACAGGGGAGGAATAGACCCCCCTGGATGCGCCTAGGGAGAGCTGGGCATGGCCCTGTGCGGGCTGCCCGTAGGTAGGGATGGCCCCAGGGCCAGGCTTGGCACAGAGCCCAGCTCTGCACCACTTATCTGGGAGGATCAGGCTGTGGGACGGAGTGTTTATCAGGTGGAGCAGGGCTTGGTTATCTGCCCCAGTGGGAGGAAGTTCTTCTGGCAGGCGAGCAGGAACCACAGCACAGCTGGGCAGGGAGGATGTGCGGCAGTGTTGGGGTAACCCTGGGGCCAAGGGGTCCGGCTCTCGGGGCTCCAGGTCGGGTAGCTCAGGGCATCCTGGGGCAGAAGTGAGCTGCAACTGGAGGGTGGACAGGCTGACCCAGAGGGATCTTGGTTTCCTCCCAGTCATCCCTCAAGGCTTGGATTGGGCATGCTGGGAGGTGCACCAGTAAGGCTAATGCCTGGCCAGATGCTGCATGCTCCTGGAGGTGTTGCCTCATCGACAACACTGGGGTGCAAAGCTGGCTGTAGCATGCCTGGCTCAGAGGATGGCCTTGGGTCGAGGTGTCCCCGCTGTGTCTGGGTCTGTGCTCGTCCCTCGCATCACCCTGAGGTGCTGTCTCCCTTCAGGTATGCCTTCACCGTCATGGCCAATATTACTGTGTACGGCCTGGCCTGGCTGCTGCTGAACTTCCAGGTGGACCAGCCTGACCGCACAGAGCACTTAGGCATCCAAGATGTCCCTATATTTCGGGTAAGTGGCAAGACTCAATCCCTGGCATCCTGTCTTCCCTTGGGACATGGCTCAGCTGGGGAGGTACTGGGGGAGGTGAAATAGCAGATCCCTGAAATCTCACTGTCTTCACTGGGGAAGAGCTGCACTGAGCATTTTTGGGAACCCCTCTTTTATCTACCAGACTGCTGAGGGGTGGATGATGGGAGGGCAAAGGGCATCTCCTTCTATGCTCACCCCCTCTGCCTCAACCAGAACCTGTCCCTCATCGTGGTGGGGCTGGGGGCCGTGTTCTCCCTCATCTTCCACCTGGGCACCAAAGAGAAGCTGTACCCGCCGGGCTTACTGCCCCAGCTGGAGGAGAGCACACCCCTGCTGCAGAAGGAGCCTACGAGCCCCCCGCGCCCACTGCTGATCTGGAAAGACTGGCTGCTGGAGCCTGCCTTCTACCAGGTATGGCTGCGGGCAGGGTTTGCAGCGCCTGTCCTGGGCTGCTGCCCTGCCTGGGTGCTGTGGGCATCCTCTGGCACTGGGACCTCACCCTGGTGCGGGTGAGGATGGAGATGGGCTGTACTGGGCACCCACCTACCATGGCAGGGGGGCTCTTGCCTTCTCAGTGGGCATCTGTGCCATGACAGAGTTGGCCATGGAAGGTGCCAGCCTTCCCTACCTCCAGTTTGCATGGGTTGAGCAGTGCTGTTCTGTCTCTCACCTCACAGGTTGCAGTGCTCTACATGTCCACCCGGCTCATCGTCAACCTGTCCCAGACTTACATCGCCATGTACCTGACCAACTCGCTACTACTGCCCAAGGTGGGTGAAGGGCGGGTCCCTGTCCACGTGTCGAGGTCATGGGCAGGGGTCCTGTGTGACGGTCTGGAGCTCATTTTCTCCCTGTCTCCGTCTCTTGCAGAAATACATCGCCACCATTCCCCTGGTGATGTACATCAGTGGCTTCCTTTCCTCCTTCCTCATGAAGCCTGTGAATAAGTGGATAGGTCGAAATGTGAGTCCTGGGGGTCTGGTGAGGTGTGAATTAGAGCCAAGGAAAGGCCCAGGGGCCAGATCCTGACCGCACAAGTGAGCAGAGCACTCGGCACACCTGAGTCTGGCTGGAGAGTGGGGATCCCTCCTACATCCTGTGCAGGCTACCCCCTGCTGTAGTGTGGGTCCCACTGGGACAGTGTGGGTGGTGGGCAGAGTGAGAGGGAGTGGGCCTATCCTGCACATCTCTGAGGTTGGGGAAAATTATGCTGATCCAGAGTCAGCCTGTCCTGTGCAGCCCTAACCCCATGGTGCCCATGAGAGGCAGAGAGAGGGTTTGGCTGAGCCACCCTGGGCTGGCACTGGGGGTCTGCAGTGGCAGCAGGAGGGAACTGCCCCTCCAGTGCATCCCCCCCTGCACTGCAGCAAGCACTGTTCGCCAGTAAGCCCCCACCTCTCCTGCCGGTTGGGTGTCCCCATGCCCTATGCAGGCACCCTGCCTGCAGCTCTGCAGGGGTCAGCTCCTGGGCTGCAGCCAACACTGTAAAACAGCCTGGACCGACGCAAGGCCCTTACTGTTTAGGGTCTCCTTGTTTAAAACCGCCTGGGAGAGAGCCAGAGCTGTCCCCAGGGGTCCTAGCAGCAGCTGGCCCCCATGCCTTCCCCACTCACCCTTGCTGGGTGTCAGCTGAGCCGGGGTCTGAGCTCTCTCTTCTCTCTCTGCATGTCCTTTGCTGGCCCGGAGCAGTTGACCTACTTCGTGGGCATCCTGGTGATCTTGGCCTTTGCCTCCTGGGTGACCCTGGCCAGGCAGATGGGAGTGGAGATCTATGGGGCGGCTGTGCTGCTTGGGGCTGGCTCGGCCACCATCCTGGTCACCTCCCTCTCCATGACAGCAGATCTCATTGGCACCAACACGGTACGTCTGCTCCTCCCGGCTGTGAGGGACCGGGGTGGCATGGCAGGCCTCGGAGCTTACGGGCTGGGGGGTTACCAGTGCAGGATGAGGGGAGGGGATGGAGACCCCTGCAAGGGGGCTCTGCTGTGGGGGTGCTGGCAGCCCTGTCCCCTGCGCCCGTGCTCCGCTGTAATATGGGTTGTGCCCATGAGAGGGCACAAGGCCATCGCTGCTGGTGCTGGGCTCAGCGCAGTGGCTGATGGGGTTTCCTCTCCCCTGGCAGCACAGCGGCGCCTTCGTCTATGGCGCCATGAGCTTCACCGACAAGATGGCCAACGGCCTGGCTGTGATGGCGATCCAGAACCTGCACCCGTGCCCGTAAGCATCCCTGCGGGGCAGAAACCCTCCCCATGGCAGCCCCAGCCACATCGCCTGCGGGCCAGGCAGCAAATATCCCTGGCTCAGAGTGAGACATGGGTGGAAAACGGCTTGGATTTGTCTGAAATCCGTCCTCAACTTCACTTCTGGCCCTAGACAAGGGGTGCAAGAAGGGGCTGGGGATCTGAATGTTCAGGGTGCTGTCCTCTTTCCTTGCCCTGGACCTTTCCCTTGTGTCCCACTGTGAACCAGTACTGACACTGAGGACATGGGCGCTGCTGTCAGCTGCCCCAGGGCACTCAGACAGCACTGGGCTCTGCTCTGGTCCTGGCCACCAAGCCACATCCCCACCCTCTCCCTGCAGGACCGAGCTCTGCTGCCCTGCCTGCATCAGTTTCTACCACTGGGTGATGGTGTTGGTCACCGGAGGCATTGCCATCGCTGCCATTGCCTCTCTGTGCTGCATTATGGTCTGGCCCATCCGTATCCGCTACCGTGAGTGAGGCTGGGGGCACTGGGGGGATGGCAGGCAGTGAGGCTGGGGGCACTGGGAGCTCCGTGTCCTGTGCCAGTCTGGGCTAAAGTGAAAGCATCTTTCCAGATGGCCCCAGTTGCAGGGAGGCAGTGGGAGCCCTGTCCCAGTGGGAGGTGCTGTAGCAGAGCTGGCTGTGGGGACCTTGTGGCCCTGCCCACGGGGGAACCCTCATGGTAGGCACATGGGGCAGTGCAACCATCCTGCTTCTGCTGCTCCTGGGGAGCCGCGTCTGTCTGGGCACCCGGGGACTGCACCTGCTTGCAGTGCTCTCGTGCAGGGCAGGAGCTACTCCTGCCTGGCCCTGCGATGGCTGTGCTGGCCCTGGCATCCCTTGGGTCACCAAGGGGTGCCAGGGCTGCTCCACATGCTGGTAGCCGAATGCAGGGGCAGGTGTTGGGGGTGGGTTGCCCCTTGCTTGCCCGGGGATCCAGGCACCGGTGCTCAGTGCCAGCTCAGCAGATGCCTCTCTGCCATGCTGGGTGCTTGTGTCTTGCTCTGGGGTGGGGGGAGAGGACAGACATCCCTGTGCTGCCCTGGGGACGTGCTGGGTAGGGCCCCTCATGCCAGTGGCATGAGATTCCAGAAGGCCCAGGCCAGCATGTGGTGGGTCACCCCAGCAGCTACAATGGCTCCTAACCTGTCCCTTCCCTCCCATCCCCACAGGTGCTGTCTGCCTGCAGGGGCTGAGTGGAGTGGGGACCCCCTACGGCGGGATGGAGAGTGTGGAGGGAAGGAGCCGGGGAAGCACCGTCAACTGAGCA